TTGGCCACATAATCGATTATGGCCTTGCATAATCGATTATGCCTCACCCATAATCGATTATGCCTCACCCATAATCGATTATGCAAGGCCATAATCAATTATGTGGCCAATCATAATCGATTATGCTCCTTCGTATATACTAAATGAGATCAAACTTACCTTCAATGGAGGACCTCCTTCCACAATCACTCACCACCAACACCCACCAGCCACCACCAGCCACCCAACGTCGAGAATCAGCACCAGCCCGTGAAGAACGTGAACGTGAATCCTCTGCTACATGGCACATGCATGGGAGGGGCATTTTCGGATTTTCACAAATCCTACGTGTCTTTCACCTCCTTTCTTTGCTTTTGTGCGAGGAGAGCAACAATGCTTCTCCCCGCTTTTCTTTGCCTTTCTTTCGTTCCAAATCACGGGAAACAAACACATACTTTCCTCACCTTTCGTTACTCGTAAATAGTACATCCCCAAAAACAAACACTACCTTAATAAGCAGAGAAGACAGAGGGAAAGATTTAAAATGTTTTGGTTATTTGGAGGGTTGGAAGGCTAATAATGATGTAGACTATGAATATGATCTATCTTATCAGCATCTCCTTTAGAAACACATGTCATGCTTCCCCTCTATTCCGTACACTCCCGGTCCCCGCCACCCTCTCCTCCCACCAGAGCACAATGCACAATGCACAATTCACAATGCACAATGGCACCATCACTCTTCCTTCCTCTGTCCTTTCATTCATGTGAGTGACAAGCCATGTGACCCCAACAGCACACACCCCTTCCTCCTCAACTCAACACTATTTACATGGGAATGGTAAAAAACGTACAACATACCCATATAGCCACAGGGGAGCTAAACCTATTGTCACATTCTGCTTTGCATTTGATGATTATCTGTAGTCTTGCGGCGTGTAGAATTGTTAGTATTCTTTCCGTGTTGGGAGGTTATGAACTTGCAAATAAACTATTGGCATTGGTGGTTTTAACTTCACATTAAATATTCTATATTGCATTTTTCATAATAGAGAGAGAGAGATTCGGTCCCTTGATTGGAAATTCCCAATTTTAAGGTGTTGAGAACTGAGAAGTAGTGTATTTATAGTCGGGAGAGAAGGGTTAGGACTTGAAGGTGAGATTTTCATGTGGAAGGTGGTTTATTTCAAATATAAGTGTGAGATATGCTGGGCTCTGATGATGGTGATGTTGATGTGTTCTTCGACTCTGTGGATAGTTTCTCAGCTCAAGATTGTCTTTTAGCGACAGAATTTGGTTGTGATTATGAAGAAATTTGGGTGAAAGAGCCTGTTAGTGTGAAGGAGAGGAGGGAACGTTTTCTGCAGGGTATGGGTTTGACTCATGCTTCTTCCAAGGTTTGTTCACAAGAGAAAATGTGCTTTGATGACTCATCCACCAGCCTGGGATTGGAGAGGATCAGGGAGTGCAGTGGGGCAATCTCAAATGCTTGCTCTACACAAACTGATCAAGTATCCGAGGAGTTAGTTCTCTCTGGAGGGAAAGCAGCTACTGTAGCAAAAGTCTTTTTGGACGAAGCAAAAGGGTGTCTCCAAGATGAAGCAGATGCAAAGTTACAATGGAAAGTGCATGAGGTCTCTTCTATAGCTCAGCAGCACAGACACACAGAAGCTGATTCACAAGAAGTATTTCAGGATTTTGATATCGGTAAAAGGAAGAGGAAAAAATGGTGGAAGCGCTTTGTTAACGTGAGGAAAGGTGGAGAAGGAAATGTTAGATCAAAATTGAATGCAGGGACAAATAAAACTCGAAGAATAAAGGTAACACGGAATAAAAAGAGGTGGCTGGAGTTCAGTGGGCTATACATTGGACAAGAGATTAGAGCACACAAAGGCCTAATCTGGACCATGAAATTTAGTCCCAATGGTAAGTATTTAGCGAGTGGAGGTGAAGATGGTGTTGTGCGCATTTGGCGTGTTATATCAATGAATAAATCCAATATTTGTTTCACCCCAGAAGATAGTACTTCTAATATCAAAGTGGAATGTGACAGCTCTTCTCCTTGGGAGAAACACCCAAGCCAACCCTTCGTTTTCCTTCCAAATAGTATTTTTCAGATTGAGGAATCACCCCTGCAAGAACTCTTTGGTCATTCCAGTGATGTCTTGGATTTGGCTTGGTCCAATTCAGATGTGAGTTTTACTAGCTGAAGCTTGTTATCCCCCAATATGCAATATGCTCTATTTGTTGTGCTTGCAATTTTAGTTTTCCTTAAAGCTGATAAAAAAAAAATTCTTGATGCAGATTCTCCTTTCATCTTCTATGGATAAGACTGTTCGCTTGTGGCAAGTTGGCTGTAATCAATGTCTAAATGTTTTCCGGCACAATGACTATGGTGTGTACAAGAGAACCAAGCCTTGTAATTTTGACCTGTATTATCCACAATCATAATTTAATTTGTTAATAAAATTTAAAGGACGTACTTTGTTTGCCTTAGTAATCATAATTTGAAACATTACTAATTTACTATGTCTTTATCTTATAAATGTAAATTATAGTTGTCTTTACTTTTAATGAAAGCAGTGACATGCATTCAGTTCAACCCTGTTGATGAAAATTACTTCATTAGTGGGTCCATTGATGGCAAGGTTCGAATATGGGGATTACGTGAACAGCGAGTTATTGACTGGGCAGATATAATAGATGTCGTAAGTGCTATAAGTTACCAGCAAAATGGGAAGGTATGTCATGAATTCTCAATTGAATCCTTTCTTCACTTTTGGATTTCTTAGATATTTTGACACTGGAGATTCATGTCTATGAGACTGATGAATCTTTGACAATGTACATGCGCAGGGGTTTATAGTTGGTTCTGTTACGGGCACTTGTCGTTTTTATGTGGCTTCAGGTATGTACCTTTTGGGTTGCAAATACCAATTATTGTAGTCATGAACTCCCTTTGCAAAAGAGAAAAATTGAGGGACATAAAGTAGAAAGAACTGTCTAAATTGGATTTCTAATGATTTAGGAAAATATTTCCAGCTTGAGGCGCAGATAGATATCCATGGAAAGAAGAAATCATCAGGCAACAAGATTACTAGCATTCAGGTTTCAATCTATTAATTCTCAAGTGCTAAAACACTGCACTTTCATGCTTTGTCCTTCATCTGTATGACACCCTTGTTCCTTTGCAGTTCTCCCAAAAAAACTGTAAGAGAATTATGATCACATTAGAAGATTCCCAAATTCGTATATTTGATGGCATTGAGCTGGTTCAGAAATACAAAGGTAACAGGTCTTAGTGTAGAATCTTTATTGGGAAATAATAAGATAGCTTCAAAGCTTCTTTTTTCAAGAGTTGTTTTTCATCACCTTATCAATATCTGTTTTGCATTCTTGTAACTTTTCTCTTTTACTGGGATCTGATCATCTATTGCAATTTGTTATCTTAATTGAAAACATATAATTGGCATGAATAAAAAAAATTTTATTAGCTCAATCTTTGTTGTATGTTACCTTGGAATGATGACTGGCTTCGTCATCTTCTTGTCTAGTAGGCTGATGTTAGGCCTAAGCAATTGTTTTACAAATTGGAATATATAGCAACACATTCTAATGCCTATCCTACCTTTCTACATCAAATTTGGACTTACAATATTTACTGTGGTCCAATTTGAATAAATTTTTTCATAAGTACTTATACCAGAAGAAAATTAGAGAATAAAATGAATTGAATTTCTCCGATAAACTAAAATCGACAATGCACTTTAGCTTTTAGAGAAGTTAGATGAGAACACTTTTATAAAAGTTAAGTGTATAAGTTTATCCTAGCTAATTTCATCTTACCTTCTTATTTATTCTCCTATAAATATTTATGAAAAAGTTTATTCAAACAGTTTTTGTTGGGAGGGGAGAGGAAGCTCTCCTCAGACTTCTGAAATGTTTAGTTACTAAACTCTGATATTTTTTCTGAAATGTTTAGTTACTAAATTCTGATATTTTTGTAGATAAAGTTCTATTTCCCATTTCTCTCGTAGGATTAATCAGGTTAATATTGTAGAATCTTGCATATAAAGTGGAACTACTTCAGATAATCACGGTGCTAGCTATTAGCTCATGACTTTTGGCTATTTCATACTGTACCTATTCCGCAACCTCCTCTTGTACATGAGCATGCTCTTAAATTTTCTACTTGCAATATAGAATGGTTTTACCAGCAAGCTTTAGAATAAGAACTATTTTCAGACATTGTGTGTTGGATTCTATGTTTTCCTTATCCGACCTTTGACTTTACGTCCCCTAATTTGTGACTTCAAATTGAATATAATGTGTTGTGTACACCATTGGCATGTTTATAAATTTAAGATAGTATTTGTTTCCACTCCCTATATGCTTAATGCTTGTAACTTCCAACAGGTCTTCCTAAGTCAGGAAGTCAGATGTCTGGTTCATTTACATCAAGTGGAAAACATATGATTTCGGTTGGAGAGGACTCCCATGTATATATTTGGAACTTCGATGACTTGGGGAATGCTTCTTCAAAACAGACGAAATCCAAAAACTCCTGTGAGTACTTTTTCTCCAAGGGTGTTACTGTTGCAATACCTTGGCCAGGTATGAAATCAGATCAAGGGGGTTCTAGTGGTAATTTTTCCCACCATTCTTCAGAAAGGCAAACTCAACTAGAGGTTGCTCCTGAGGCAAGAGATTCTGAACGCTTTTCTCTTGGTAATTGGTTCGCCATTGATGGCACATGTTGGGGTTCTATGACATGGCCTGAGGAGAAACTTCCAATCTGGAATTTACCTATAGCAGCAGATGAATATGATCAAAAGCAGTTATGTCACAAAGATCATTGCCATGACAGAAGTGTATCAGAAACATGGGGACTATCGATTGTGGCAGCTAGTTGTGATGGAACTATCAAGACATTCCACAACTTTGGATTGCCCGTTAGAATTTAGGACAATGGCATGGTTATGTTGGTGTTGAATAACAAAATAACTAGCTCCTGTTTAAGGATCATTGATGCAGCCCGGATACCCTCCATGTATGAGAACTTTAGCCACTTCCTTTAAGGCTTTGTTTGGTTAGGGTGGAATTTACAACGGTGTTTTAAGGCCTAGAATCATGCAATGTAAGTGGCTAGATAATTGGGAAGACGGAATTTGAAGCCCATGGTATCCTGGCCATAGCCTCTGCTTATATGATGATCATTACTAAATCCATGTTGAAAGTCAAGGCTCTTGACATGTTCAAGGAATGTGTACACTTAAAACACTTGTAATATGCCTCTGGTGGCGGAAGCAAGCCACAGATAACACGAGAATCCTAATCACTTTTTTACACTCACATTTTAGATGATTTATACACCAAGGTACAAATTTAAATGCAATTGAAATTTTATTTAGTTATGAGGTTGTATTAGTTTATAGAGCTACCTTTACCTTATTATTGACTTTTTTTAAGGCAAAGACAATATCATTATCAAAAGGAAAATGCTATATCTTTCGAAAATGAAGGCCGAAAAATTGTTCGAAAAATTAAAAAATATTATTATTTTAATAAATTTATTATAAAATAATTATTTTATAATAAATTTATTAAAAAATAATAATTTTTTAATATTCGGAACGTTTTTCAGCCTCCGAAAATGAGAGTCTTAGCATAAGGTATGCTAAGGTGTTAAGCACCATATACCTTCTGAACCACAATGTCCCAAAAATAAAGTACACACCACCGAATGGACAAAAGCCTTAAAAAAAATAATGACTTATCCCAACCTATAGAAAGATGGGAGAATTGTATCCCAAGATACTGAAAGAATACAGGTGAAGCATAATGTGTTGGAACCTCTACTACTCTACAGCATGTTCCATTTGTGCACCCCATAAGCCTATTAAAAGTAACAGTAGCACCCACCAATAAGAGGCTAATACATCCAAGGAACAGAAAGGCATCGTTGTCACTATTGCTTGTCGATTCGTCAAGAAACTGCTGCACAGTCTTGACGCACTAGACAAAAAAAAGGCCAGCAGTGTAGCAACAAGCAACTGAGAGATATCACAACATTCACCAGGCAGTTATATGTGCTTGCCACCAAGTAACGGAAATGGATCCTTTGACTTTATAGAAAGAAAGTTATGATAACTTAATACATTTAAACCGTTGGATTTATAATAAAAGATCAGATTGTGACACATGTACTTTTAAGTTAAAATATATATTATACACGTGTCACAATCTGATTTATTTTTATAAATCTAACGGTTTAAATGCATTAAGTTATCATAACTTTTCCTCCACACAAAGTCAAAGAATCTGAATCCGTAACGGAAATGAAAGTCAGTAGGTAATTTATTGTCAAGATTGAATCTTAAGGTTCTTCCGATTATTTAAAATGGAGCACAAAATTAGAGACATAGGTTCGGAAGTGTAACCTGTATTTTAAGTTAGAAAAAACAACTTAATTAATATACATTTTTTGATAACTTTTTAATCATATAAGAGTATATATTATAAATGTTTAAATTTAATAAGCTATTTATATTTTAATATATATGTTAATAATCACTGGTATTATTTTAAAAGTGTTCTAATATATTGTTTTATAAGTAGTTATAAAATAATGTTTCATTTTAAAAATTTTAAAAAATAATCAAATTATACCTATATAAAGGTACCGACTTTCTTTTCGTCTTGTCTTCTCTTTGCTTTCTGAACCAGTTATCTAGTTGTGCTGAGAGAAATGTACATATAAAAAATATTTTGACGTTCAAGTAAATCTTTCTCTTTGAATAATAAATGTAGATATTTTGTGAATAGTAATTTTACCAATTAGGTAATACACTTGCAATTTGGTCTGAATTATGCTTTAATTGATAATGTTAATTTTTACTTACATTCTAGTACCAAATTTATTAACACATTCAACTCTTTTCTAACTTTTGACTTATGTAATCCTCAATTTAACTTCTCTTTTGTAAGTAAAGACACTTTGGTTACACATACAGGGTTATACATAATTAATCCTCATTTTTTGTGATTTTTTGGATAGGTAATCATGTTGGAAGAGGCCATGTCAAAGAGAAGAAGCTGGATTTAACTCCAATGAAGCTAGCTGGCATTTTCAGTAGACCCGCGCTGAGCCCATAGCTCAACTCGCTCAGCGCATTGGATCAAGGAGTTGATGGAGAATTGGCACCGCGCTGGGCGTCATAAAGTGGGAAGTCATTCATCCTGTTTAGCAGCAAAAGCAATTTGACAACTAAGGGTGTCAAATGGGTGCATTTTAAAAACTGTTAAATGAGGGTAATTGGACTCGTGAGAGTGTCTAAGGATATTGAATGAACATTATCAGTTTTTAGTGACACGGTAGAAAAAGAAACATGAAAAATCAATAGCAACATATAAAAATATCAATTGAATTAATTGTATTTTCTTAATGAGAAAGAAAAAAACATATAAAAAAATCATTATAATTCGTTTTGTATAAAATTTAATATTTATATGAAATTTTGGTGAAGACACGAAAAAAAAAAAAGTAGACTACTTAATCAATATAGGGCTCTTTTGTAAATGTTTTCATTGCAATTGTTTTGAAATAATTTAGTATTTTAAAAAAGTCGACACTACCAAAACACCACATCAATATTTTTTTTTGTTTTGTAAATTAAAATTGTCACTTAGACTCTATGTGGAAAGCTATATTGGTAGAGACATCGACATATTTAGAAGGTGTCAATGTCCATAGAGACCATGTACAACTGATCAATTATGTAGCATAAAAGGTTGTCTTTCGTGAAAGGCTTTGTAACACTGTGTGTCTTTGACTTATTTTATTAATTGTATGGTTTATATGATAAATTGTTGTTTCTTTGTTGTTTTTGTTGTTTCAGAGCTCTAAAGATCAAGGGGTTCTTGAGATTTAAGTTGTCTTTGAGTTAATTTTAGTTAAAGTTAATTGAGTCGACTAAAATAAGAGTATACAATATTTTTTTAAGGTAAATCTCATAAGTTCGTATTTTATGAAAAATTAAAGAGAAGCTATAGAAAAATTCTTTGGAGTTGAGAAATCTTTTCTTCTCTCATTTCCTCCGATTCCTCCCAAACTCTTCTTACAGTTGATCAGAGTCGATAGATTGGTGATTTAAAGCTTGCGAAGTTGAGAATACAAAGTTGGAATCATGCGACGATCATTTCCTTCTCCCCTTTCTCTTTTCTTTTGAGTGACTAGAGGTAAGGGAAGTTTATTAATTGAATATTATTTGGTTATAGTTCTTGTTTACTACTTGAAAAATAATAGAATCTCTCATTTTCTTTACTTATTTTTTTTAGTTTTATTAAATTAATAATATGTTAATATACAAATATATATATATATATATATATATATATATAACTAGAAAACACATGTATGATAATATTATACATTATACCATACCATAAGTACTTAACATTACATATTTTACAAAAGCGCGTAGTTGCTTTTTATATATATAGTACAGATTATTACATGCCTATCTACACATCCTATTTTTATTTTTTCTACTTCTATAATTATAAATTTTAGAAAAGTTTGGAGGACTCGTGACTTTCTCTATCATAACCAAGATCCGCCACTGATCTTAGACACATGTAGCATTATATAAGTGTTTGGTTGATTAATTTATAACTCAAGTTAAATCAATCATATTTTTAATTAAATATTTTAGATTTTTCACTTTGGTAAAGATTAACATTTGGTTTAATTGCTTTCCTCTATTAATATATCAACTTGGTTCAAAATTTCTAACACACCAAACTTAAAAGATTTTACGCATGTTAAAAAAAATTCTAAAAATATTTTTATGAGATAAAAATAAGATAAAAAAATGAGATAAACTTATTCCTAAGTTAAATTTTTTTAAGTTTATGTATAAGTTAATTTTTAACATTTTCACTGTCCAAAAAAACTTAATTTTATTATATAGATTAATTTAAACTTATGTAAAAATTTATTTATTAAAAATATTTGTAGAGAAGCTTATATAAAATAATTCTTAAATACTTGCTATGCTTCACGGTCCAATATCTAAATGTAAGTTTTATTATTTTTTATTTTTCAAGTTATAGAAAAACAATGAATTTTAGTTCATTTCATTCCAGGATTCTAAACGGTCTTAACCAAGCCGGTTAATATGCGTCTCACTTTATGTCGTTTATTTATTTTTGTCTACATTTTTTTATTTTTAGTTTTGTATAATCCCGTTAGGTTATTTCGTTTTCTATTTTTAGTAGCCCACTAATACACATTTAATGCGCACTAGATATTTAGAAGGGGAACATAAAAACAAATTAATAAAACTATGGGTTCTTTGGACCCCAAGACTTTTAATACTAAACGGATTTATTGTGCGGTAGAGAAGAATGAATAGATATTTAGAAGGGGAAATTTGGTTAAATTAATAATTGTGGGGATCGAAAATAAAATAGGAAAAATCAAAATTATCTTGAGCGGCAAAGCAGGGAAAAACCTCGGCAGCTGAGGGTTTGGTGTGGCGACAGCAAAGAGATAGAGTGAAACACACTAATGGCACTCTCTACTTCTTCTTCTTCTTCTTCTTCTTCTTCTCTCCATTCACCTTCGCTTCTGTGTCTTCCAAAGCCCTTCTCTTCTTCTTCTGTTACTTTGACACTCCGCAGTTCAACCTCCCACGCCAATCTCACCCTTCGCTCTTCTTATTCCGAATTGGGCTCTTCCCCTGAGCCCATCAATTTCAGGTTCCCCACCAGCCCAACAACCTGTTTGTAGAAATGCTTGTGTGCTGAAAATGATTTTTTTTTTTGTTTGCAGGAAGACCGAGATTTCGTCCATGTCCCATTTGGGACTCTCCATGAATGAAAGTAGCAGGGCATCTTTCAAGTGGCGAAGGGTTTTGCTCAAAGTCAGCGGAGAAGCACTTGCAGGAGACAACGCTCAGAATATTGACCCTAAGGTAACTAACTCATACCTTCTCATTTAACAATCCACTCTAATTACTAATCTATCAATCATTATAATGTAAGTTTTAGTTTTATAAGATTCTCAATTATAGAAAACTAACTAATAAGATATTTATAATGAATGATTCTAATGGCATCAAGAAATACCGCAACAAGATTTCGCTTCCTTGTTGACACAATACTTTTACTCTTGTCAAATAGCACTTATATTGCTTCAATTTAACTCATTTACAATTGATTCCTTAGTTATTTAATTATATATCTATTAGTCTCCTAATAAGTCACATGTCTCTCATAGGAGACATTAAAATCTTGCATATAATGATTAACTTTAACTGTAATAAACAAATAAAATCAAACATTTTGCCACGTTGTGTTGTTCTCGCATTGTTTTCTAAATATTCTTTTTGGTTGGATACAGATAACCATGGCCATTGCAAGGGAGGTGGCAGCTGTAACTCGCCTTGGCATTGAGGTGGCTACACTGGATTATTTTTGCAATATGGGTCTCTTTTGGATAAATTTTTCCATAAACACTAGTATGAGGAAAAACAGAAAAAAAAATGAAATAAACTTTTTTGTAACTCAAAACTAGTTTATGTATGAGTTATAAATAAGATTTTAGAAAAAAAAGGTAATATGATTTTCTTTTACAAATTAGTTTATGAAAAAAATTGTTTCATTTTTTTTTCTCCGAAAAATGTTTGTGGAGAACTTTATTCAAACAGACCTATCATTTATGTTTCTGTTGTTGTAGTTTTTCTGCTGCATTTTCACGTTGTTTGAGATCATTTATCTTTAATTGAATCTGTGAAATTTACGGTAGTTTTGGGGGAATTGTTGTTTTCAATGTGTTTTACAAAATAATCTTTAGAAGTACTACATGGATCTATTTTGTATTCGACAGTAATATTGGCTTATTGGGAGAGTTTATGGTATCACTCCAAGTTAGAGGATTTGACTTGTTCAAAGCTTTTACTGTTTTTAGACTTGGTTTTAAACGATTAGGCTGATGTTTCAGGTAGCACTAGTAGTTGGTGGGGGTAACATCTTCCGTGGATCCTCCTGGGCTGGATGTAGTGGACTAGATCGCTCATCTGCTGATTATATTGGGTGATTCTCTTAATCTTTCTCTGGCGCCTACCTAAGATCTTCTGTCAGAACTCTTTTGCTTTTTTAATAAAGTCTCTCAATTTTATCTCATAGATTAATTCACAGCTCTGATGTGCTATTTTTCACTTGCATTTCCAATTTATTGTGGTCCACTATACTGAGATGCTAAAGATAAAATTCATAATGGGAGAAGTAATATCCTGATTTTTACCAATTTTGTTTAACTTATCCTTTAGGATGTTGGCCACTGTCATGAATGCTATATTTCTTCAAGCAACAATGGAGAGTATTGGCATTCCTACTCGGGTGCAGACCGCATTTCGCATGTCTGAGGTTGCGGAACCATATATACGCAGAAGGGCTGTAAGGCATTTGGAAAAAGGAAGGGTTGTCATTTTTGCTGCTGGAACTGGAAATCCATTCTTTACCACAGACACTGCTGCAGCACTCCGGTGTGCAGAGAGTAAGTTACATATTGATTTAAATAGCCTTTTTGTCTCTATAGTTTTATAATTTTTGGCTTTTAGTCTCTATAACTAAAATCCTTTTATTTTATTCTTTATACATATTATTTTTGTTTCTTTTTAGTTCTTATAGTTTCATAAATTTTACCTTTTAGTTCTTATAACAATAAACAAGGACTAAAAGAAATAAAAATAGAATATATAAAGACTAAAATAGAACCTTTTTAACTATACAAATTAAAAATCCAGAGCGTTAGAGACTAGAAAATTATTTTAGACTTTACATTTTTATTGCTGTGTTCTAGAACAAGCATACCACACTAAGTTCTATCTCTTTATAGTTGACTTTCTTTTTTATATTGTTTTCACACTCACTTCTTGGCAAAGGATGTAGATTTTCAAAATCAATTTCTATGTCTGCTAAGTTTGTTTTCACCTCTGTAAAGAAGGGTGAACTTTTGTAGTGTCTACTACTTAATTTATTCCATCATTTATTCAGTTAATGCAGAGGTTGTACTCAAAGCAACTAACGTCGATGGAGTTTATGATGAGGACCCAAAGCGTAATCCACAAGCACGTCTTCACGACACACTAACCTATCAGGAGGTAACTTCAAAGGATCTGTCAGTGATGGACATGACTGCCATAACATTATGCCAAGAAAATAATATTCCTGGTAAGTCACGTAAAAAAACAGCTATATGAACTATTCCTTTTATATATATCTAATATTAAGTTTTGTTAGAACTACTTCACTTAATAATTTATTGTATACATTAAATTTTAATGATTTAATTGTTGATTTAAAAGTTCTTGATAAATAGTTGAAGTCTATAATTTTTTTGCGAAATTTGAAAACTATTTGATGTGCATTTTGATCAATTCTACACATACATATATATTTTATTGGTATTGGATTGATTGTCTCCTTACCCTAACAAAACTAAAGTGACTTACCTTGATAAGTTGTCCTGCCCTTCCCTTATGGTGCAGTTGTTGTGTTCAATCTAAACAAACCTGGTAACATTGAGAAAGCTATTAGAGGCGAAAGAGTTGGCACTTTGATTGGGGCAAGCTGGAATTCTACCGTATCAAGAACATGAAATTTTTTTAACTCTAATTACCAATTGATTATTTCTTGTGTTTTCCTATACAATCTTCCAGCTGAGGATGCCAAAAATGTGAGGTGCATTACTTTGCGAGTTGTTTCGATGGACTTCAAGGGTGCTGTGGAGTCATAGATTTGTAAATATAACAAGTTAAATTATTGTTTGATATTTCCTTCCACCTGGTTTGGCCTAATTTTACTTTGCCAACTTGTGGTTATGCCAAATTATATTGACTTCTGAACTTTGCTCCGTTTGCATAAATTCTGGTCTACCTTTTATTGATCCCCCATATTTTGTATGATACTGATGTTCAAACAATGCTCAGGGAGTGTTCTGCAAAGGCCAACTCTAACGTAATAGCTTGTTGAGGTAAGATGGTGGTGGTCTCTCGTAAACACTATCTTGTAAACGCTGTTACACTTGTGTTAATATGGACACCAGTTGAGTAATACAATCTCTTATCTTAATTATAAACAATAACTTGGATTTCTTATGGTATTAATTATAAGTAATAATCAATAGTAAGATACTTAATTAAATTTCTTTTATATTTTTCATTATTGTTAATTCTATTTCTTATACATTCACTTATAATTAAAATTAAATATAATAAATAATTACATAAAGTAAAAGGTGTATTTGAAATAAAATTTAAAAGTAATTATATTAATTACTTTTCTTGATCTTGATGATTTGTTCTATGTTGTTTATAACTATGTTTAAAAATAGTATGATTTGTTCTATGTTGTTTATAACTATGTTTAGAAATAGTAGTACATAGTCAAAGTTTGAGTCATATTTGGTGTATGAGAATCTTTAAACAACATGAAGAAAGGAGAGAAAGTTTGTTATTTTACATGAATAGTTCATAAGAGTAATAATACATGTACAACATTACTTTTGTGTTCATCTTTTTCTATCACTTCATTTATTAGAGATATACTATTAATGATAGAAAGATAAACACAAAAGTGACATTATACAATTTTTTATTGTATATGTAATATTATTTTGTTTATAATGCTCATTTTTTCATGCTCATGCATAAGTAGCATGACAAAGTTGGCCATAGTGTGATGAGATTGGTAGTCTTGTGATTAGGTTGGTTATTATGTGACTAGGTTGACTGTCTTGTGATGATGTCAAATTTTATTATGATTGGTAAGTGATATCATAATAAGATTATGTTGAGATTATTCTCATACAATTTAAAATAATTATAGAAGGTGCAATTCAATCTTTCATTGTGTTTTTTCTTTTATTTTATTAATTGGATGTACTTATATTCATTAAAGAGAATATTAGAATCCCTTTAATTATTAAATATTTAGATAATTAACAAAAACATGAAATATATTACTATTTGTATTGAATATTAGAATCTCTTTAATTATTGACTATTTAGATAATTAACAAAAATATGGAAACAATTACGATTTTTATTGAGTTTTCCTTAATTACAAAGTTAAGTTATTTTTATTATATTAAATGATCTTTTAAATTGATCAAGAACATTTTGTTAATGGTCGCTTCTTTATATTACTGGTTATTGTTTGATTGAATTTGCTTCTTAGAATTTGAGTTTGAGTTATTTTTGGAATATTTTCCCTTATCACTACTTTGACCCAAAATTTATTTTACAACTATGCTCTAAGAGAAAGTAGGTCAAAAACAGATTATATTTATGTTCACGATGAATATTTTGAACAAGAAAAAGAAATTGAAAATTGTTTTACAGAATTCTTCTCTTCTTAACATCCCAGTGTAATGGTTGTTCGCATGGATGCTAATCTAAAATATTTGAACCAAGGTTGTGTTGGGATGAAGAAGGCATAGGGGAAGAAAGAGAAAGAGATAGTAACATTATTTGTTTAATTTTTTTTTTATATTGATGAATATTAGAGAAACAAATTCTTTTCTTAAAAAGAATAATATAATATGTAAAAGGAAATATAACTTTATGGAACCGAATATAAATAAATAAACCTGAATTCACATTCCTGGTAGTAATATTTGAGTGCAGTATTGAATTGAAGAGTGGTCACTTAATTTTGTTTTCCTACTACATCAAAACAAACAAATTTACACAATGCAAAATGCAAAACTTATGGTACAAAAGTCAGCAAAAGATGAATTTTCCACCGCCACCCTTACCACTACTCCTTCCCAATCAATCATCTCACAAAAAATTCCAAAACTCCTTAGCCAAAAAAAAACAAAATTATAATGAAAATTAGTCGAAGAGATTAAAGATGTCCGGCGACGCTAGCGGCGAAACCACGGCGGCGGAAAACAGCCCCGACGGACTCGCCAGGAAGCTGTTCGTTGACCAAAAGGGGCTCATGTCATTCCAAAACGACGTCGTTTGCGCCTCCGAGAAAAACCCCGGCGATATCGGAGGCAACGTCGCCGGCGACAATATTCCGGGGAACTGAGCCACTTCCACTCCTTCCAACAGCAACGCCACGTCATCCTCTCCCCCGTGAACCCTCTCCCTCTCCCTCTCCGACGGGCTCGTTCTCTCGATCGACGCGATCCTCGCCGCCGGCGACATGTCGCCGGGTTGGAAGGCGGTTTCGTCGCCGGAGGAGGGCCCGGTGAGGCGCTGGACCACGTTCATGAAGTCGCTGACGGTGACGTGGAGGACTTTGGGGGACACGGCGTAAATGATCCCCGGCTTCCGATGTTCCGGCGGCGGCGGCGGCTGGTGCGCGGCGGGGGGCAGCGGCGGCTTCCGGATCTTGTGGGATTCTTTGCTGACTCTGAGCGGCGGCGGGCGCATCCCTTGGAGCTGGAGCTCTTTCTTCCCCGGCGGCGATGAAGTTGCGCCGGCGCCGGAGGGAAATTCCGGCGGGTTCATGGTTTCGAGAGAAAAAGAAGATGGCAAAAAGCAAAATGGGTGTTGTTGGAGGCGAAATTACTAAGTATGTATTAATTTGTTAATTTATTAGGAAAGAGAGAGTTTGGAGCAAAAAGATATTTTATTTATATTTTTATTTTTGCGATGAAGAAAATTGATGCGCATTTATTGACTATGGGAGGCTGACCGGTCAAACACATGTTCTCCTTGTGTTGACAAAAGAAACTACTCACCACTTTGCAAATGCGTGCCTTTCGTGAACCCAATGCCATTCCAACAACGTTTAATACATTCCTTAACCTATTTTAATTATGGCTTTCAATTCTTAACTTGTAACTATCTTATGGCCCGGGAAAGCTTCTTGACATGGATCATATAACTCTCATCCTAGTGCAAAATACTAGGGCTTGCTCTTTAATTTGTTGCTATGGCTCACAACATCTTGCCCACCTAATATGTACTAGGTATTGTTTTTGCCTATGTTTATGGTATGGGTAGAACCAAAAATCGATTGGATTTAATTCTTACCTGCCTATGGTAATGGTAACGCTACCTTAACTTTTCTCGTGACAGTATTATAGAATTGGAAATAAGTTAAAGTTGAATCGAGGTTGTGTTGTATGCTACAATGAGAAGAACGTAACTAGGCAGGGATGCATCAAGAATGAACACCAACCACGCAGTTTACAATGACATGGTTGGATGTAAGCAATAGAAATTGTATGCTTGGTAGTTGGAGCTATTTATGGATATATTAATACTCATTTGCTACGTCAACCTATCCTACTACTTCCATGATACACGTTCATAGAGTATGCTCTCCATCATTCCATGTGCACTTAATTCTCATTTCTCAATTTGGATCAAGCACTTTCTACTGAAAGGCAAATCATTTATATATATATGCACTACATTTTCTATGTTTCTGTCTTTTTAATGAATCTCCACTGCTTTTCATTTTCAAGTATTTAATAATATTTAATGCTTTCGAAGCTACTATGACCTTTTTTTTTTAAATATGTACTTTTCTAGGTAACTAGAGGTCGAGATTACTAAAATTTCATTTGGTCTGAAATTTTGACTTGCAAATAGTGTCTAATGGTGAAAGTAGTACAGTTTTATTCTTTATAAAAAAAAAAGTCATATATTAATGAAAATTTTATAATTTTTTAAAAAATTATTGATAAAATCTTTATTTAACGGAAATTAATATTTCAGTATAGACACTGTAAGTTTAAACTTGCATTAAAATACACTATATTCGTAATATATATTAATCGTTGACTTATTTGTAGCCTCTTATTATTAATAATAATCTATTAAATATAATTGGTTTAGATCTTGAGACCATTTCC